CCTGTGCTTCCTCCTGCTCACCCTTGGGATTTACTGGCTTTATAACTTCTCTTTTCATTCACAGCAGACAGGGGCAGATGGATTCAAATATGTATTTTGTGCTTGGCACAGGGATTCCTGGAAAGCTTGTGTAGTCACTGGCTGTGAAGGGGAGTAGGGTGCCATAAAGGATAAAGTGAGTGGCGATGAATTTTATTGCCTTTCTGATTAAAAAAAAAATCACAGAATCACAGGCTGGTTTGGGTTGGAAGGGACCTCAAAGCCCATCCAGTCCTACCCCCTGCCACAACATCCTGATAATGGGGAAGAATCAGGTGAAAAAGAAACGAGAAAATACCAAATTTGAGGCAGTGGGAATCTTCCCAAAGTGCCCTTCTGGATCTTGCTCAGTCCTAACACACAACTTACAATGTTTTTATTATCGTCTAGTTGTGGAAATATTTATGGAAAACCAGAGGGCAGTGTGTTTTATCTTCCAGTTCACCGGGTTTTAGCAGATATCTGTGTTATATTTGAATTTTACTCTCAAAAAAAAAAAAAAAGGATCCTTCCCTCTTGGTTAACATTTCCACTCTGCCTTGAAAACCTGAGCTGTTTTACATATTTAATTGTTGGAACATTGAGTTCCAGCTTTCTCACAGCAACTTTACCTGCAGTGTTGCTGCCTCTTTCCTCTTCAAATACCAGGCAGTAAATTTGGATCATGGGCAGATGCTCCTGACATCTGAATCACTCATCTGTCAATTTGTAGCTCATAAAAGCTGTTTCTCTATCATTCTTCGTCTTTGGACTCAAAGTTCTTAATTACTAAAGACTCGGGGATTTTTAGTTTTTTTTAAAAAAGAGAGAGAAAAAGGGATTTTGTGTGTGTGTGTGTGTGTTGTTTGTATCACAGAAAGCCAATTACACAACGTGGTAAACATAAAATAATAACGTTAATGGTAGGAACAAGATTCATGTTCCAAACTAGATAACCCTGATTATGTTGCTGGTCAAAACTGGGGGGGGAAAAGAGCAGAAATGAGGCAAACACTTCCTGGGAGTTCTCCCTCTTTGTTATAGAAATGGAATATTTTCCCAGGAACTCACCAGTCCTGTTTTATATAGAAAACTTCAAAAGAAAACTGATTTTATTAAGGAAAATCAATTGTTGTTGTTATAAACCAGAAAGAAATTACTTTAAACACTGTCACAGATTTCTTTACAGGAGTATCCAGTGGATTAATTTCCACTACATTCAGTTGTCATTAATTAAAGGCAAGCTTGTCCAACTTGTTGAGTCAATGAAGAAATTTGTGGTTGATCGATAGGCCAAGCACAATGGACTGAGGGTGTTTATTTTTTATAAACATATCTGTGCATACAACAATCAATGTTTAATCATCCCATAGGATTAACAGCTCCAGAAATCTATATTTCCCAGTCTTTAAGAGAACACAGTGTTTCTCAGCAGGAGGCAGGGAATAAATCCCCTTTCGTTTGACAGCACGAGGGTTTTCTGCTGCAATAAAATCCTGCCACAATTACAGCCCCTTTTCCCTGATGTCAGGGAAATATATTTTGCTTTTCTGGGTTTGTTTCTTTTTTTTTTTTTTTTTTTTTTTAACTTTTCAGCTTTAGGAACAGAGGTTTCTAAATATTCAAAAAGGTAACCAAGAAAAAAAAGTTGTCCCCCCAGTGAAGCCTCTGGATTCACTGAGCCTGCATTAATTACAGCTTAGGCCTACGATCATCTTAATAAATGCTCCACAAACTGATCTCATTTCCCCTCAGCACTCCACAAATCCTCACAAACCCCTGGAAAACTGTTGTTTCAGCCGGGCCAAAGGAGATTTCCCACCTTGTGTTTCATCCAAGGGCCTTTGATAGGAAGAATTCTTGAGGCAAAAAGGGCTTTGATTGCAAGCATTTTTTTTTTTCCCCTCCCTTCAAAAATTCCTTTTCAAGCAGATCCTGGTTCTTCATTAATATTTCAGCTCTGGCCACGAGGATGGACGTGCAGAAGATGGTTTAGGGTTGTGTTTGCTTGTGGGTTTTGCCTTTGAAGCATCAACTTGACCGGTTCGTATCAAACAGCAAGGCCTCAACGTCAGGGAGAGGCTCTCCAGGGAATTCTGAGGAACTGGGGGATGAGGATTTGCCTCTTTCCCATCCATGGAGCCAAAATCGATGCCCAGACCTCCAAGGCAGAAGGGTTGGGCAGTCCTTGGTGCTTCCACGAGCGTTGGGAGCCTCCTGCTCGGGGGCTGGCTCTGCAGAGCATCTCCAGTTTGGTGCTGAGGCCTTTTGGGGATAAAAATCCCATTTTTGGGGTTGTCTTGGGCATTCCAGTGTTGCTGTTCATGTCTCAAAGTCATGGTTTGAAAATATGCTGGAAAATCCCTGTTCCTCCAGCTGCTTCCCAAGTTCTCCAGCTCCGTGTAGACCTGACCTTCCTTTTTGCTGTGTCAGCAAATAAACAAGCTCAATTCTTTTAGTGCTTTTCAGCTCAGCTCCTACATTTATCTTCAATTATTTTAGTATTTTTCGGCTCAATTCCTACATTTAGCTTTGATTATTTTACTATTTATCAGCTTAATCTTTCCATTTAATTTCAATTTTTTTAGTATTTTCCAACTCAATTCCTATATTTATTTTCAATTATTTTAGTATTTTTCAGCTCAGTTCCTACATTTATCTTCAACTATTTTAATACTTTTCAGCTCAATTCCTACATTTGTTTTCGATTATTTTAGTATTTTTCAGCTCAAATCCTACACTTAGTTTTGATTATTTTAATACTTTTCAGCTCAATCCCTACATTTATTTTCAGTTATTTTACTATTTTTCAGCTCAGTACTTATATTTATTTTCAAATATTTTTCTGTTTTTCAGCTCAATTCCTACCTTTATTGTCGATTATTTCCAGATTTTTCAGCTGAGGGTGCTGTTGGTGTTTCACACCAGATTTGGGAATGTGTTGGAAAGGCTCCCACAGGGATGTCCTGGAGCGATTCCTCCCTGG